AATAATCACGTTCCCCCACTGTATGAATAAGCAACTTTTGGAATGCTTTAATACTTGGATCATTTGGATTATCATTATGAAGAGCTTAATCCAAAACTTCTGAAAAAGCTAAAGATCGTGGCTCAGCTTTACTAGCATATTTTGACACATACTGTAAAGCAGCATGTTGTTTTCAAATCAACATTTGCCCTCTATCTCTGAAGTTGAATACGATCATGTGGATTTACAAGTGGATCATTTCTGGCTGTTGTTAACTCTAGACGACCATTATTGTTTTGAATAGTTGTTTGACTTGTTAACTCTTTAGGGAAACTAAATCTGCATTTCTATTCACCAGTTTTTTTATCAATTCGTAAACAGTAGGAACTACAACGTATATAACGCTGTAATTTATTTATTAGCTCAATGTAGTTTGCTGTATCATCATTGAGATCCTCAAGGCACTTTTGACATGGGTGATGATCAGGAGAAGGTACATCTAGACCAGGATTGATTGTTGTAATTAAAGAATCTAAGTAATGCATAATATTTTCTATTATCTCCTCATTGTCACTCATTTTTTTCCAATCAATTTCAGGTGTATCTTTTCTCTTAGCAATACCATGCACATAGACACTACCACAATGCTGCCATTCGAAGTGATACCACCACTCAACTAATTCCCATTTAGGTATAAGAACCTTTTCAAAAAAGACTTTAAACCGCTTTTCAAAAAACCATGCAGCAATATGGGGATTATCTATAAGATCCTTATGTCGACGCCTAGCAGCATCCTGATTTGATTCTGCTTCTACAGGATTTCCTCCACTAGGCATGAGGTTGTGTAGATCTAGCCAATGCATATCAGCTGCACTAAACGTGAAGAATACCATTCCTTGGGATCCCACCTATTTTATCATATCCATTAATTCAACTTTACGATGCATCCAATATTGACGGATATTACGTAATCCCTTACCATAATGTAATACTCGGTCTATAATATTGTTATTGGCTTCTATTAAATCCAAGATTTCAGCTACGGTAAGTTACCCTTCATCTAAATTTTGTTGGACGAATATACGACCTTCTGATAACGCTTTCCATCTCATTATTGTATTTAATGCAAAATAACGCCATCGTGGATGATGAGCGAACTGGCCATCTTTGTAGATTAAAAGGTATTTAAAGTATTCTGCCAGTTTTACTTCTTTTACTCGATGTTCATAGTAGTCTGCGGTACCCCAAGGATAAAGTGTAGAGAATGCCCGTACCATGTATCCGGGAATATGAAACTCATCAACTGGAGTATCCTCGTTATGCGGCCAATTTTCATGCACAGGACGATCATGTTGCATTCGATGGAGAACTTCATTAATTGTATTGTTCTCACTATGTCCAGTAGGTAACATAGAAACAAATGTTTGCGAGGTGAAACGAGCTTCATCATCTTCAATTCCATCTTCGTTTGCTCATTTGGTCCTTCCTCTTCATGATGAGCTTTATTACTTGAGACCTGTGGGAGCTGCTTTGCAATCGATCCATTTTCAGGTAACTTTTGCAAAATATTATTATCGATATCAATGTCACAATAGTATATATTATTGGCTTTTAACCACAAAAGAGCTCGCATTACTTTTTCCCGATGAACTTGAAAGTCACGAAAATTAGATCTATTTTCAGTATAATGCCGAACAACAAGCAAATCCAGCGATGATGAGTCACGTGAAAGGCGGGTTACAAACTCCTGCACATCTTGTGGAAAATTAATAATATTTCCACGATATGCGTACTGTCCTCCAGGAAGATTATATACTGAAACAACAGGAAATATTTATGCAATCAGCATCTCTTCTATATCAGTCAAGTCTTGAAGTTCTTGTAGAACTTCACCTAGAAAAAAGTGAAAACACGTGAGTCCATCAAGTTCAAGTCTATATTAAGAAAAAATGTTTTACTTTCACCTGGATCTATATTGTTTTCAATAGAAAATCTTTTAGGCCTATTTTCTTTACAGCATCAACAGAATTCTTCACCAGCAAGTACAATAGATGGAAATCGCTCATTACACATGATATAGAGATTATTTCTCAAATTACTAATTATATTGCGAAATTTGTGTAGAAGTTTCTGATCTGAAGTTGAAACACCTTCCATATCACGTCTTTGGCATAGAGTTGTCCTATTCTTAGAAAGTCTTGCGATGCGTTGTTGGGGAGTTTCTCTAGACTTTCTTAATAAATATTTTTTATGTGCATGAGCACACTGAGCCTCCTCTTCAGCCACCAAACGCGCCTCAAGTTCTTCATGAGTCTCTTCAGCTACTTTACGCTATTTATTGTTTTTCTTATTTCGATCATGTACCAAATGCGCCTCATGAGCCTCTTCAGCCACTTTTCGCTTCTTGTCTGCATCACGTGAATGTGGTGCCTTATTTTCTTTATCATTCTTTTTGAGTGAATTCGCAGAAATTTGTTTTATGAATTATGTATATAAAGCACGTTTT